GAATACAAATCTTAGGTACTACGAAAGACGAAATACATTTAACAGAAAAAAAACTGGAATATATAATAAAATATGAATGTGGAAGTACTTACGTTGGTCAGACAAAACGTAATTGAAAATACTGCTTAAATGAGCATAATTGATATGTAAAAAATAAAAAAACTGAAAATTCATCCATAGCAGAACATGTACAGGAAACACAACTCACAATATTATGGGAAAAAAACTGTAATATTAGCTCAACCAAAAAGTATAATAGGTAATAATATTTGTGAATCGTTAGAAATAATAAAACATAAAAAAAATCATGTAGTATTAAATAGAGATGAAGGTATGGTGAATATTTCTGCAAGAATGTGGATGGATCTCCTTTGAATGATTCAGCATGAGTGTATGAAAAATAACATACAGGTCAATGACCTACTAACAAGTTATAAATACTTTGGCAATTGTCTTGTAACTCACTCCTGAGGATGGCGTTGTAACGTCGAAAAATGTAGAGTTGTCAACTTTTTGAAGGCCATAGATAGGCCTAAATAAAATGTTTTTAATTGTGTACCAGTTTAACGTTGAATATTATTTATGATTTTAGACAATAGCAACTTATAGTAATTATATTAGTGGTTGCTCTTATTGTGCTCCTACTACTATTGATGACACTGCTGATGGTGTAACTGCTGCTGCTATTGGTGATGGTGACGGCAGTGACAATGATGATGAATATGATAATGATAATTATTATTTGTTGCAGATGATCAGTTACTAGTGATCAGATGCTGGCAGTCATTTATAGTATAACCTTCAGTTTATAAGAAATAAGTTAGTTATTAATACAGTTTTATTTCAAGTTCAGATATGCAACAAAATTAAGTTTCTTAACAATATAAAGCTAGAGAAATAACTGTGATTCTTTTCATAAATGTTTAGGATCTGTACCTATTGATGAATCCACAATCTCCATTAGTTTTGAACAATGGCTTGCAAGTGTTACTGAACGAATCAATGAAACCATGCATTACCAATTTGATGGTGAGTGTTTAGGGGCTTATATATAACTCTTTGTGGTTTATATTTTATTGAGAATTATCTTTTTTATTTTTTAAATTTTTGGTGATGTTATCAAAATTATAAAAACAGTATATAATATGGCACTTCAAAGAAATTTCAAAAGTATTAGTAAATGTATTTTCAACTTAGTTTTGAATTTATTTTTTCTAGTTAAAAGCTTTACATTTTTTAAATCCTCAGGAAATAAACCAGGACAAATTAAGTTGTTTGTACTTAGGATATACTTGCTGAAACTCACCTATGTATAAATGGAATTCATAAGTGCTTATGGTGTAACTCTTGCTTGTATAATTGTTATCTATGCTTATAAAGTTTTACATTTTCTAATCATGATTTAATGACTGACTAAGGTGAGAAATAATTTAACACACAAATCATCACGACCCCACACACTGTTGCATCTGTTTTGAGTGAATCATTTCTACCATCTTTACTGAGACAAAATAAAATATACATTCACAGACAAATTTTACTTACCTCTTAATAATAGATGAAAGAAGACTGATAATTGTCTGTTTTCACATACATAGCATATTTTGACATTTAAGAGAACATGAATAACTGGAAGCAGAAATAACTATAAAGTTCAACTTCAAATATAGTGAAAACTGTTAACCATTGGTCAAAACACAGTTTTGTATGTGTGTGTAACTTATTACAGTGTTGTGTGGCCACTCAGTTTGCTTTAAAAAAGTTTTATGACTAACAGTAAAAAGCCTGAAATGATCAACATTGGCTTACATAACATTGTTGAATCCTTACCAAATCACTGATTGCTTTCCAACACCACATTAATAATTGTATACATTAAAAATTAAATTAAAATGATTATTTGCTAATGACTGTTAAATTGAAGTTAACTTAGCACAGTTGTGCAGCTAATCAACATTACAAAACTAAAAACTCCAAGATTTGAAAAGTTGTATTACCAGATGGAAAATAAAATGGAACATACACTTAAAAAATGTTAACTTGTATCTTGTTTTGTTTTATCTTGTGTTACCACTAATTAATAACTGAAAGGGAATGGAATCAAATATTGAAAAAACTATTGTGCAATGAACCACACACAAATTATTTCCAGGGTCATGTAAATAGTTTTGAAAGACTACTCTCTGTAAATTGTTAGATATGTTAGAAGACCATTAGAGTCTATTACTGTCTGCCAGTGTCCTTACCTTTCCTGTTTGCAAAAAGTTGTTTCTAAATATGGTATCTTTGGCAAGAAAATATTATTTCTAGTTAATTAGTAAACTAGTTAACTAGTAATTAATTCATACATTCTGTAAGTGATAATAATTAGACCATACATAAGAAAATGTTTTAATGATTAAATTCACTGAACATTTGTATTCTTCACTTGGTTAGATAGAAAAATATGTGCAAATGTTCTTAATCCATACAATTTGTTCAGTTAAAGATGTATTTATAAGTAAAAATGTAACCTGTATGTAACATAAAAGCATCAGGCTCAACTATGTGCAGCATATATGCACTAGTGTGTGTTGTGTCAGATGGTGGCTTTTACAGGAACTGTGTACTGCAAAGCAAGCTTGGCATTGTCATATCTAGCACAGTGACAAAAATCAATCAGCTACAGCATCATAACAAGAACAAATAAGTGGGCGAAATCTTTCTAAAGGAAATTAGTTCTGTGTTCAACATTTTGGATAAATGATCAGCAGTTTAATAAAGCTTTCTGCTGATTTTTGTGTCCTGGAGGCAGGTTTAACTTGTCTGGGCAAGGTGCAATACAAATTGGATAAATGATAATAAAGAATAAATTTACACATCTAAATGAAAACTTTTTTCCAGTTTTCATATAGACATGTCAATTTATTCTTTATTATCTTTTATCCAAGTTTTCTTCTCACATCTTGTGGAACAACACTCATTCATCCAATGCAAACTGTCAAGTCTTACAGTTGAAGAACTTCTTTGTGGTGTCATAAAGGAAAAAATAAGCATTTATGTGTTTTAAGGTAGACTAACTGATTTTTTTCCTTATAATTGTCTTTCACTTTTTGTCATTCATTTTATATTTTTTTTCTAATTGCAGGTCATCCTGACCATCTGGTTTTTCATGCTCCTGAAACATTTCTAGATTGCCTACAACAGAGAATAGCTATTGGTGGAAAGAAAAAAAGGCTACCAAATTCAACAACAGCTTTTATAAGAAAAGATGCATTACCAATGGGTACCTTCTTAAAATATACATGGCACATTACGAATATTATACACCTCAAGCAGATTTTTGACACTCCAAAGGTAACAGATTAAGAAATGTTTTGATCACTTTTTTACTGTTAGTTTTCAAACTGGAGGAATGTAACTGATATCCTCTAAGTATTTTTCATTTTTATATTGGAAATATGTAATCAAATTGCATTACATTTAGTGTGATGTAAAATTACTAAATAGTATCTAGTTTTGACTTTAAAAAAGTTTTATTTCATTTAGTATTTCTATAATTGTTTGTTTTTAAAGTCTACAAAATTATTTTTTGAGACACTGTGAAGAAATTTGATACTATTCTTATTCCATTTCAGAATTATCATTATTTTTTATTGTTGATCAGAAAATTCCATATGTAGTAAGTTTGAACTTAATGATATTCATTAACATGTATGTTTGATACTTTATTTTGTCTGATTGCAGTAGTCATTGCCTTATGCTATAAGTCATAAAAAAACATTGCAAAAACTGACAAAAGTTTATCAGTGTAGTTTAACCCCACATTTCAAAATGAAATCGCCAATCTTTGTTAAAGTAGCTATCATGATTTGTGTTAACAATATTCTTGGTGAAGAAAAATTTACATCCAGTTAATATAATTTTTTCAATAAATAGTAAGTTATTTATGTGCAGTTTTTGGATACAGCAAGCTTGGCAATAATATCCAATAAATAGAGATTGGAGGCATCAGAATATTTTGCTCTCATCTAAAGTAGTTGCTAAGCCTAACTAAGTTTACCTAAGTCATAGAAGAAAATTTCTGTAGCTTTTAAACAGATATAGTTGAACACATAAACGTTTTCACAAATGAAAGGAGCATCTAAAGAAATTATAAAAAATTCCCAGAGCTATAGTTTCTTTCTAACTCTTTAAAGTTCTCAACAGATTCCTTTATTCACCCCCACAGGAGCTCTAGGTAAATCAGTATATCGAGAAACCATAAATTGCTACTCAAAATACTGTATTCACTCTACACATTGATCTAAATAGTTTATAATGCACTTATATATTGTATTTAAATGTTGTTTTTAACTATTTTCAAAGCTGAGCTTCATTAGTAATTTTTTCAGGCCACTTGCTGTGACATCTTAAAAGGGTGGGAACAACACATCACAGAAGGAAAACCACATGAGAGACAACACATGTATGATTTTATCCACAAGGGAAAACAATTTCTTAAAAAATATAAACTTTGGGATGAGGTTGCTTTGTTTTGTAAATTGCTCTAAATAAATGTAAAAAAATGACAAATCTTAATTCTAAAATATTTTTGAGTTAAAATTGTTGATGTAGAGTTAGAATTATTGTTTTTACTTAACGTTTCATATGAATAGATGTGCACTTGACGCCTAAAAGATGCGTACCAGTCATGATAGGGTTCATTTTAACACTAGTTAAAATTTAAATTGCAGTAGCTGAAGTTGGTACAAAAATTTGCACAGTTTCTGATTACTTTTTAAGTTTTAGATTTTTATTTCTTATTTCTTTAGTATTAGCTGGTTTAAAAAAAACCATAAGGAGTTATGGCATTAAATGCCAGACAGTCCACATGTAAATCTTCCTTTTTATGGATTTCCCTACTTTCCTTCCACAGTTTATTAAATTGGGTGTACCAAACTGTTGTCATAAAGCTTGTTTAACAAATGTCCATTTTAAGCTCTGTAGCTTTCTCCCCACAAAAAACAGCACTGACAGTACTTGAAATCTTTGTTTTACATTGTATTTCAGTATTGAGCTCATGTGTTGCACATGCTAAGCCTCACCGTAAGCCTCTTTTACTCTTCTGAGTGGTGGTGAAGACATATTCATTTTTGTAGGCTTCAAATATAAATTTTTAGCAAACCAAAGTCCCATCCCTGTTCAGAGCAACGACTTAGTCATCACACTTTTGACAAAGTTGTTACTTTCTCCTTCAAGTTATTTACAAATGACTGTCAAATTTATGCAGAAGGGAAACTGCTCTTTCTATTGGTTATAAACATGCACTAATTAGTAATAGGTGGGCCTATATAAGAGGTTTCAAAAGAATGGAGTAGTGGGAGAAGCCACTCCAGTAGATTCGATAAATATATTGGCACCTCAGCAAATTATAGAGGTGGGAGGCTCTTATTTAATACTTAGCTTGTCCATATCTCAAATCGAGTTTCTAATTTGCTAGCCATTGTACACATTGTATGGTAGGTGTAATAAAATGTAAACTAAGCAATAAGACAAGAGCACATGTTTTGTGAAACAAAAATAAATATTTACCATTTTTTCTTCATATTACCTTTTAAATTAAGAAATTAAAACATATATAATATTAAGATTTCAATTATGAACTGTGTTTTGATGCCAATTTTATTGACATAAGTAGTAATGAAGTTATTTAATAAGATTTATAAAATAACTCTCCAAAACGTCATGATGTGCACTTTAACCTGCCCAGGGCAAAAGGGTTAAAGCTCCTACCTGTTAGGTGGTGGACCATGGAGAATCCTTACAGATTAGGACTTGGTTCTGGGGCTTGAACAAGGGGTGCCAATCAGAGGGAAGTGGGTTGGTGGTGATGCTGTTATTGTAGTACAGGTCACCTTTCATATATCTATACTTATAATATGACTCTTGTGCCTTTCTCCTGTGACTTGAATTTGTACAGTTGAGTTGAGGTAAGCACATAACAGAATACTGTGCTCTCCTCCTGCAGCTTGCGATTGTCCAGTAGAGCTGAGGCAAACACATTACAAGGTTTGTGCCATCCTCCTGCAGCATGTGACTGCCCAGTAGAGTTGAGGTGAGCATGCACCCCTATACCATGCCCTCCTGCGGTCATGTCTGTTCAGTAGAGTCAAGGTGAGCATACTTCATACACATGTGCTCTCCTCCTGTGGACATCACTTGTTCAGTTGAGTGAGATGAGCATGCACTAATAGACCATACCTTCCTCCTCCTGCAGCTGATGTCTGTTCAGTAGAGTCGAGATGAGCACACTACACTTGTGCTATCCTCCTGCAGTTGATGTTTGTTCAGTCAAGTTGAGGCATGCACACACACCATTCCACACACTATAGCATAAATTCTGTGCCCTCCTCCCACAGCTGGTGTTGGTCCAATAGTCTGACAGTAGAGTTGAGGAGAGCACAAGGAACAGTCTGAATGTGTCCCAACCACAGTACATAAATTGGCTATGCAAACTCTCATGTGCAAGTACTCAGATGGTCATGTTCTTCTTCCACCCACACCTGTAACATATGGGATTCATTTGCCTCTTCCTCCCTTTTTCATGGGTGAAGAGTGGACCCTGGAAGAGAGAATATTTGGTCTCTCATGGGTGAGCCCATATAGAGCCCAATCATTGGGTGTCACAACCCATAGGTTTCCTTCAGGCACTTTCTGAATGGAACTCATCTATACACCTGGAAAAAAGTTAAGCACCCCCGTGTTTTTTTCAAGTGATTCAGATTCGACGTTCTTGTGACTGATTATAAATTACCATTCAATCTAAACGTGTTTATCAAATGAAATTATGCATTATTGG